ACAATATCAGGGGGTCTTTCAGACCCTCAAACCTCCTTCGCTCATATCCTGTCATCCAACTGCTTGATCCCAAGAACCTCGGTCCCTTTTGTGTCCAAAGATCTCAAACTCCACCTTGCAGATCCTGCAGCTCTCCGGGGGATGAATATTCCAATGACACACCCCTGTCCGAGTGAGGCAGTCCCTCCTCAGCTTCGGTCGGAGATGACTGGCCTCTTGGTCAGTGTCCTGTGATTCTACACTCTGCAGTCAGAGGGGAGTCATGTCCCAGGCTCTGTCCTGCCAAAAACCTCTCAGAAATACCCATGAGACCACCTCCCTCCTTGGAAAGCTGAGGGAACCCAGGCTCAGTCAATCAATCTCCCCCGTTCTCAGGGAGGAATCTGCCTCAGGCGGTGAGGACCCCCCCCCCCCCCCTTTGATTTACAGCTGTACTCCAGGTGGAAGTCTCACCAAAGCACAATTCCCTTCTTTGTGGGATTACATGAGAAGGTTCTGCAAGACTGAACTGCTTGATAAAGGGGAGCTTGCATCACTGCACTGTGCCTGAACATAACTGAGAGGGGGGAGCGATTGTGAGGCACCATTCAGAGCCTGTTTGGTGTCAGTTTCATCAACGCTGGATTGACAGAACTTGAGTCATTGTCCCCTGCTGATTGCACTGGTGATTCAGAGAGTTCAAGATCACCGGGAAAGTCCTGAGGAAACTTTTCGTGTAGGTCAGGGGTTACAGAGAGGGAGAGAGACACACTGGATATTGGACGAGGCTTCTTGCTCCCGACCAGTGACCATCCCAACCCATTCCAAACCACCACCCACCCACTCTCCTGCGAATGCTCAGCAAATGTCAGGCTGGGACCCCGTCAGCCTCCCGAACAAATGGCCTGTCCTCAAAGACCACCTTAGGCTCTGCACCCAGGTCAAACCAGTGGGAAGACAGAACCTGTCTCTTCGGAGAGACGGGGATGACTTTCTGACCATCCTGTCCTTGAACATATCGAAACAAGAGCCTTTGGGACACAGGGCTTTGAGGAAGTAGGAGGCCATTTGGCTCCTCAAGCTGCTATTCAATGATGGCCGGGCTATCCCATCGCTGTTTGAACCCCACTCTCCTGTCTGCACCTCACTCCCCCCTCGAATGCTATGTCAATCCATCATCTCTCCATTGGTCCCCCTTCTCCCGACTGTACAAACTGCAGTTGACCTTTCTGACCCCTCCTCCCAGTATCAATACTCCCATAGAGTGACAGAATTCCCCACGAGGTAAATATAGTCTGCTTCAGTGGGTGAGGCAGACAGTGATCCGTTTCACTTCCTTGAACTGGAGGAACCAGAGCAGGAGACGGCTCCCCCAGTGCAATGAGCTAATTGGCCTGCAATGTTCACATTCTCATCCCGGTTTCCAACCTCGCCCCCCCCACCCCTTTGCCCGGAAGCCTTCCCTATCTCAGTCATCTCCCTGTCTCCGCACAACCCTCCCAGATCACTGCACTCCTCCTCCAGTTCTGGCCTCTTGCTCTGGAATGGCTCCACTATCGGTGGCTCTGCCTTTCGCCTCCCTGGGCCCTAGTCTCTGGCATTCTCTCCCCAAACCACTCTGCACTCTGCCTCTTGTCCTCATTCGCTCCCTTCGAGATGACAACCGTTATATAACTGGGAGGGGGGGGGGGCTGTGGGCAAACAGCTGTGAAAGGGTTTTCCTGGGGGTGCCTGCAAAAAAATGTCCCAGGGACTTGGGGGGGGGGGGGGGGTGAGGGGAGAGGAACGTCCCATCTCATGGCAGTTAGAACTGAGCTGGGTCCTGCTGATTATCTGACATTATGTCCGCAAATCAGTGCACAAGTCACCTCCCCTTAGACACTCACACACACACACACACACACACGCACACACAGTCTCACACAGACAGGCACACACAGACACAGGCACACACAGACACACACAGTCTCACACAGACAGGCACACACACAGAGGCACACACAGACACAGGCACACACACACACACACAGGCACACGCACACACAGGCAAGCACACACACAGGCAAGCGCGCACACACACACACAGACACACTCTCACACAGACACACACACACACAGACACTCACACAGACACACACACACAGACACACTCTCACACAGACTCACACACACACAGACACACTCTCACACAGACTCACACACACACACACAGACTCACACACACACACACACACACACAGACACACTCTCACACAGACACTCACACACACAGACACACACACACACATCCCAGTCCCACAAATGACCTACACACTTACTTGGAACTGACAGGTAACAGCAAATGCAACAGCCTGAAGGACTGAGTCACCTGCTGTAATACCTCCGGATGTGGCACTTCGGGACACTACAGGACGTGAAAGGAACTGTCTCAACGTAAAATCACTAACTTCCAGGATGAATCAGCCTCTGCAATCCATCTGATTCATCAGAGACTCTCACAAGAGATGTTCTCCAGCTGAACCACCAGCGATTGAGAAGTGACCGAGAGCAGACCTGTCGATATACCTGCAGCTGCTCTCTGAGTGCAGAAATACTCATACCAACATTATCCACTCATCCTTCTGTCCATCTGCTTTTCTCTCTCTTTGGGCTCTATCCCCAGCTATCATTTATTTCTCTCCCCACCCCCTTCCCCCACCGTGCATTCAGCATAAAACCAACTCTTTCCAAGTTACCATTAGTTCTGAACATGAAACGTTAACTAGTGATTTCTCTCCACACATGCTGCCAGACCTGCTGAGCTTTTCCAGCAATCTCCATTTTTGTCTGTCATTTCCAGCACCCCGCAATTCTTTAACACTGGGAATACACGCCTTAGTTGAGTTCAGACCGATGTTCCTGCGTTAACAGTGACGAGATATTGCCCTGTCTGAGAGTCAGCACTGAGATCTGACCTTTCCTTTTGGGAATACAGTTCAATCAGTCTGACAGCTCCTCGCAAGCACTCCACCCGTGCTCCCTACAGTTTTTTTTGTGCAATTTCCAAACAGCCTGTTCAGAGACATTATTACACACCTCTGGAGAATGTGGCACTGGGAGCCAGGTCCCCTAGTTCAGAGGAAGGGACATTGCGACACAAGGGCGCTCCCTTCGGGACTGCTCACACACACACACACAAACACACACCACTGAGTGGGTGTTCCCCTTCCCCAATCACCCGTGGGATTGGACCACCACCAGTACGTTACCTGTGAGCCCAGTCTGTGTTTTTGTGCTCAGACAATTTCCAGACTGACCTGCTCCTTTCTCAATCTGAGATAGAGACAGGGCAATGCCGCACTCTGCCAGGTGCTGTGTCTCAGCTGGTCTGCTCAAGCCAGACCCTGTCTACGCTCTTGCAAGACATCTCCCTCCAGCCACCGTCAGAAGGAAAGATGGGTTTTGGAGTCAGGGCTCCGACCAGTATTTATCACTCAATCCATGTACTATGGAGCAGATGATCTGGTCACGATCATTGAGCTGCAGGGAGAGGCTGGGGCTATTTTCCCTGGAGTGTTGGAGACTGACGGCTGACCTTCTCAGGGTTTATAAAATAATGAGGGGCACACATAGGGTCAATAGCCAAGGTCTTTTCCCCAGGGTGGGCGAGTCCAAAACTAGAGAGCATTGTTGGTTGAAGGTGAGAGGGGGAAAGATTTAAAAGGGACCTCAGGAGTAACTTTTTCATGCAGAGGGTGGTGTGTGTATGGAATGAGCTGCCAGAGGAAGTGGTGGAAGTTGGTACAATTACAACATTTAAAAGGCATCTGGATGGGAACATGAATAGGAAGGGTTTAGAGGGATATGGGCCAAATGCTGGCAAATGGGAATAGATTAATTTAGGATATCTGGTCGGCATGGACGAGTTGGACCGAGGGGTCTGTTTCCGTGTTGCTCAGATCTCTGACTCTGCGTTCACGGTGATGTCTGTGGGATCCGGCTGCGTCCAAATGGATTGTAGCGTTTTGTACGTGACAACTTGTAAAGGGCTTTCCTGTTTGTGAAGAACATCGGGTTGTGGTCACGGCGAGGAGGGTGTGAGGCAGATCTCTCCTGATCCACCTGGAAAGACAACTTTCAGTCCCTGGGACTTGACCTGATTTTTTTTTTGGGTGTGGGGGGTGAGGGGGGGGGGTGGGGGTGCCGTTGTGGACGGTGGTCTCTTGCTGTGCCATTGAGCTCCTCCCCAACACTTTGTCATTTCCCAAAGCGCAGGGGAGTGAAAGGTTCCGCGCTCAGACCAGCTTCCCCAGGCTGGATTCTGTCTGCTCCTGCAGGAGACTCAACCCTGTACCCATCGATCAGTGACCCGGGGGGAGAGTGTGCTCCTTATTATTTTTTTAATCTTCCCTTTAATCAGCTTTACTGAGTCAGGAACATTAATTGTTGCTGTCTCTGACACAGTGCTCACTGCAGTCAATCTGTTCACAAATAACTTTAATCCTTGCAAATAACCCCGGGCACAACATTCTGGTGTCGGTCCGGGAAAGGATCCCTGTTAACAGCCTAGATACTCTCCCATCTGATGGAGCTCTCCCGAGGGACGGTGGGCTACAATTCTGACCCGACTGTTCTCGCCGCTGCTTCCTCCTCATGAGCTGGGGGGTTTTAAATCCAGGCACTGTCCCACTCTCAGGGAATTCAGGCCATTGGAGGGGTCACTGGCTTTCTGGGGAACTGGAGGACAAGGCTGTGACCAGGGGGTGGGTTGGAAACTGAATGAGGAACATTTCGAGTTCTGTCTTGGCTCAAATGAGTGAAACCCCCGCTCTGCTTTCACACACAAAGCCAGGTACAGACAGGTACAGACTCGTCTTGTGCGATACTCACTTACAGAACCTAAGCAGAAATTAACACGATGGATTACCACTGGGACCGAGTCAAGATTCCCAGCTCTCAAGAAACAGTGCGAGCAGTCCCACCGAAACATTCCTTGACTTGTCAGATTGGAAAGGGGGGAACAAAACTGGGCGATTTCTTACCTGAAAGGACGAGAAGGACTTCCGCATAGAAACTGAACATTGTAGCTCTCACTTGCTTCCCTCTGCACACACACACACGCTGTGGACTGTGATATTGCTGTGAGTTGAGCGAGAGTCAGTCAAGCAACCGGAGAGAGTGACCTGCCAGGCAAAAGAGAGAAACCTTTTACTTCAGAACCGGCTCTTAAAGCCGCGATGTCCTGGATGAGGCAAAAATCTGAAGCGACCAGTTGATGACAGCGAGGTTGGGATTTCGTCACTTTCATTGACATCACGTTGGTGGCTCTTTAAGGACCAGGCGCATCCCACTTTCATATTTAAGGTTGGTCAACTGAAAATGATGCACCACTGGGAAAATCACAAGTCATACTGTGGTAAATCCTGGCACATTAAAACCTGAATTGCTTCACAACTCCTTCTTTCAAAAAGCTCTCTCCTCCCCAACCGCCCGTTGCAGTCTGTATTCAGGGCTGACACATTTCTTTGACAGATATGATCACAACTTGATGGAGCACTCCACCCTCGACTCGACCCCCCATCCTCTCCCCCCAAAATGCTTCATTTCCAGAACCTTTCTGCTGGCCCCGTAGTGCAAGGCGTTTTGCCAACAAACATGAGCTCATTGAGGTGGGGGTCACTGTCATCATGCGGCCAATGTGTGCACAGCAGGATTCCACAGGCAGCAACTGATGAACCAATGACCACTCAGGGCAATCTCCCCCCCATCCAACACACAACCTTCTCCAGACGAGAGACCAGGAGATCTGTTCACATTCACCCACGGAAGCACATCAGGTCTTTCTGCTTCGTCCACCCTTCGTACCAAACCAATCCCAGGAATTGGGCAGCACGGTGACTCGGTGGTTAGCACTGCTGCCACATGGCACCATGGACCCGGGTTCGATTCCATCCTCGGGTGACTGTCTGTGTGGGAGATTGCACATTCTCCTTCTGCCAGCATGGGTTTCCTCCCACAGTCCAAAGATGCGCAGGTTAGAGTGGATTGACCATTCCATAATGTCCAGGCTGAGTGGATTAGCCACGGGAAGTGCAGGATTACAGGGGATAGGGTAGAGGTGTAAGTCTGGGTGGGATGCTCTTTGCAGGGGCAGTGTGGAGTTGATGGGCTGAATGGCCTGCTTCCACATTGTAGGGATTCTTATGAATCACCTTTTGTGGAGTCTTGCTCCCCAATGTAATTTGAAAAAAAAAGCAAAGTGGAGTTCAGAATTATCAGGTCAATCACAATCCCAGTGGATAGTAGAGCAGATCCAATGGGCTGAATGGCCTTATCCTGTTTCTCTGAGTTACTGTCTGACACAGCACTTTGATACAAACTCCCTCAATGGGAAGTGTTTAGGAACATACTGAAAGTGATATTTGAATCATCCTGTGCTCTGTCTGCCCTTGGAGTTATTGGTGCCTCATCAATGATGGGTATGAGCACACACAGAAAAACCTTCAGCAGGAAACCATTTACCCCCTCAAGTCTGTCCCCTTATTGAATTCAGTCAAGGGCTTATGTGACCCTCACCTCCATTTCCCTCACCTTTGCTCCACATCTCTCAATAACATTCAACCAACAAACACACAGCAATCCCAGTCTTGGAAATTCCAATGTAACTCTCAGGATCTCAAGTTTGAGATGCCTGCTCACCTTTTTTTATACTCTTCTTCACAGGAAGTGGGCTGGGCTGGCCAGGACAATGTTAAATGTCCAACTCTAACTGCCCTGAGGAGATAGTGGTGACTGGCCAAGGCCCTCGGAGCCCCCAGGGAGGGAATTCCAGGGTAATGACACTGAAGGAATGGCATATATTTCCAAGTCAGGACGTTGAGTGGCTGGGAGGGGAACATGCAGTGGGTGGTATCCCTATGTCTCTGCTGCCCTTGTCCTTCTAGAAAGAAGAGGTCATGAAGTTCCAATGTCCAACTTTGCAAAGGAGCAAGAGTTGTTAGGGGTTGAAGTAGCAGAGGGCTCAAGGTTCAATTTCATTGATCTGGCACCCGGTTTGCAGATGGTTTCATTTTCCTGGCAGAGATTTCAGATGCTGAAGGGACACCCAGAACCAGGGGATTGGACAGGGCAGAGAGATGGACCACTGTGTCTGCCGGAGGCCAGGGAATTAGTTCAGCTCCAATTCCCCAGACCGTGCCACTGTAGGAATGTGCTCCATTGTCTTTCAGAGTTTGTTCAGAGGCTCCCATTCAGGAAACCTGTTGTTGATCCTAATTACCCTCAGTGTGATAGAAATTCCTGCTCGGTCTCTGCCCTTGTTCTTTTGTCGGCCCAGTTCAGTCACTAGCCTCTCAGTGACCCACTTATCAAAGGAAACTTGTTTGCCCACATACTTCAGAGTACGTCACCTCAACCTCCTCTCAGGTGGAAACAGGACACTTCCATCCTTGTTGAGAGAAATAATGGCAGGAAGAGGCCATTCAGCCCGTTGGGTCTGCCCAACCCTTCGGTAAAATGGTGGCTGCTGAGGCCCAGGCCTCCACTGCATAGCCAGTGGATTTCCTTTCCCTGAGAGGCGTGCCTGTGTTTGAAGGCCTCTCCCCACGCCTCGGTGACCCTGGTAAATGCTTCATGTTCCACAATGTAAACAGTGTGTGTGTTCCTCAATCCGGTTTGAATTGGACTGGGGTAACTTCTGAAGCAGGGTCTCGGCCCGAAACGTCAGCCTTCCTGCTCCTTTTACGCTGCTTGGCCTGCTGTGTTCATCCAGCTCTCCACCTTGTTACCTCTGAATTGGAGAGGCTTTTGTTTGACAATGAATGGAGAACTTTGGTGGAGGGATCTCTCAGCTCCAGGTCGATTCTCAATCAAATATACACAACTGGGCAGGCTGGGAGCGACTTGTTTGCTGTTGCACTCCTCCACCGCCTCAGTGTAACATGAGGCGACACTCCCAAGGAGCTGAGGCAGGAAATTATAAATGAAACACAAAGCTTGTGCAGTGTACGCCCTCACCTTGTTGCTGCCCTCAGCTGGGGGAAGGAATACAATTTCCTACCTGTCCAACACTGGGCAGGTGCTGTGTAGCTCAACAGCCTCCTCTGGTGGAGGTTCAGCGCCACGCAGCTCAATCCCTCAAAAGGCATCATCGCTTCTCACTACAGCCACCCAGTCGAGATCAAGCCCTACAGTCCCGTCAAAGCAGGCCACTTGGCTTTTCAGCAGCGGGGTATTTAAAAACTGAGGATTGAGCGTATGCCTGAGGGAGCGGTGAGCCCACTTCAAATTGGCCGCTGGAATAAGGGCTGGCGCTGAAATGGCACTGGAATAGAAGCGCTGTGACTCAAGGATCAGAACATGCCCAACTCAAGGTGATAAAGCAGCGGCACCTGCTATCCGGGAGCCCGCAGTTACAGCAGAAAAGCCCGCCTGGCAGTCCCCTGCCCAACCCAACTCCCCTGGCAAGCATTTGCCCACCTGAGCTGGAATTTGTGCACAAACACATTTCAGACGCACGCTGCGACGCGTTATGGAATTTTAAAAACGGCAAAAACTCACATTTCTATATCGTCTTTCACCGTCTCGGGATACTGCGATGCGCTGTACATTGGAAGGAGTTGTAATCATACAGTGTGGAAACAGGCCCTTCGGGCCAACAAGTGCACACCGACCCTCAGAGCATCCCACCCAGACCCATCCCCCTGTAACCCAACTAATCCACACATCCCTGAACACTACGGGCAATTTAGCACGGCCAATCCACCCTACCCTGCACATCTTTGGCCTGTGGGAGGACACCCGAGCACCCGGAGAGAACCCACGCAGACATGGGGAGAATGTGCAAACTCCACACAGTCACCCGAGGGTGGAATCGAACCCGGGTCCCTGGTGCTGTGAGGCAGCAGCGCTAACCACCGCGCTGTCCAAAAATGTTATCTCTCTTGGAATGCGCGATGTTGGGGCCTTATGTACACAGCATGATCCCACCTAAAGCAATGCGAGAATGACCTGTTTTTGGGTGATGCGGGATCTGCTGGGCAGGAAAGACCCTGGGGATATCTCCAGTATTCTTTAAAAACTACACCCCTGAAACTGTGACACGCAGCTGAGAGGGCACTTGCGTCTGTCTGAAAGGCAGCCCCTCAGTACTCACCGCCCCCCCCAACAGTCTCAAACCGGGGAACACATTGTAAACATGAGGCTCGCTGGTTGAAGACAGAAGGCAGGAGAATTTTACTTCCGCGGAGAATCGTGTGTTTAGCTGAGAGATGTTTTCATTAAGGAGTGAGTTAAGGTTGAGAAGGGCAGCAAGGGAAGTGTAGCTTAGAGAATGATCTTATTGAAAGGCTCAGCAGGTTCAACGAGCTGAAGGCTATTCACGCTCCCAGTGTTTGTGTCCTCCACTTCCCTGTAACCAGCAACATTGCATCAACTTTCCTCCACACTTGCTGCACTTTTTTTTCTTCCTATCTCTACGCCAGCACACCAAGGTTCCTCTGCATGTCAAAACAGCACAGGTTGAAGACAGTCATACAGCACAGAAACAGAGCTTTCAGCCCAACCAGTCCGTTCCCAAACTAAACAAGTCCCACGTGCCTGTGTTTGGCCCATACTCCTCCAAACCCTTCCTGTTCATCTACTCATCCAAATGTCTTTTAAATGTTGTAACTACCATTTCCTCTGGCAGTTCATTTCACACACAAACCACACTCTGTGTCAAAACGTTGCCCCTCGGCGCCCTTTTAAATCTTTCTTTTCTCATCTTAAACCTACATGTTTGAATTCCCGGACCCACACCCC